GCGACGATGGGGAGGGCACTCCGGATGGTTTTTTGGTTCATCAAGGGGGGGGTTAAGCTTGCCCAATCCTGCCCCCCTCCATCCTCCCCCCCCTCCACATCATCCTCCTCCTCCTCCTCTTCCTCCAAGCCCCCTCCACCCGTTCCGACAGCACGTGCCCAACCCCAACAGCGGAGCCAAGGGGGGCGCGGTGATCGCCCCATCCAGAGTACGGCACGGGGAATCGACGCGCTTCGCCGCCGCACGGCCACCGCGCGGCAGCGCAAGACACGCCGAGCTGGCAGGGACCCGGGGGCCGTGGCGCGCGGCAGCGAAGAGCTCCCGCGGAGACTGGTGGCACAACTCGGGGCGCCCGACAGGCAGGAGGGCTACGACCGCAGGGCCGAGGGGCAGGCTGCATGCAAGCCGAGCCTTCTCTCCCTCCTCCTCCTCCTCCTCCTCCTCCTCCTCCTCCTCCTCCTGCTCCTGCTCCTGCTCCTGCTCCTGCTCTTGCTCCTGCTCTTGCTCCTGCTCCTCCTCCTCCTCCTCCTCCTCCACCACCTTTTCCTCCCTCTCTTCCTCCTCCTCCTCTTTCTCCTCCAACTTCTCCTCCTCCTTCTCCTCCTCCTTCTACTCATCCTTCTCCTCATCCTCCTTCTTCTCGTCCACATCCTCCTCTGTCTCCTCCTCCTCCTCCTCCTTCTCCTCTTCCTCCTCCTCCTCGTCGTCCTCCTCCTCATCATCATCAGCAGCAGCATCAGCAGCAGCATCAGCATCAGCATCAGCATCATCAGCAGCAGCATCATCTTCATCTTCATTATCATCATGATAATCATCATCATCGCCATCCATATCATCATCAGCAGCATCATCCTCATCATCCTCATCAGCATCATCAGCAGCATCATCATCGTCATCATCATCGTCATATCATCAGCAGCAGCGTCATCATCACCAGCTTCAACCGTATCGTCATCGTCATCATCATCATAATCATCATCATCATCACCACCACCACCACCATCCTCATCATCCCCATCATCATCAACAACAGCATCATCACCACCACCACCACCATCATCGCATCACCATCATCCTCCATCCCGTCTCCTTATCAAACAAATCCTCCCCGTCGCGCCCCTGGATGTGCCAGTAGGGCGGACAGGCCGCTTCGCCTGAGATTTCCTCACCATGTATGATCTTGAAGCTTAAGATTTGCAACAGCTTCGCGGATGGAGGGCGGGTCCTGTTCAAACTGTGACCCTCGTGTAAGCGCCGCGTACATTCGCTTTCAACGCTTGCAGCAGCTTCGAAAATGCAAGGCGGGTCCTGTTCAAAATGTGGCCCGAATCGCCGCGCACACTACACTTCAACACTTGCACCAACTTCAAAAAAAGCAAGGCGGGTCCTTTTCCGAAATATGGCTCTCGCCTTAGCGCCGCGCGCAATCGTCTTCAAAATGTGCAACCGTTTCAAACATGCAAGGCGGGTCCTTTTCAAAATGTGGCTCTCGCCATGGCGCCGCGCACAGCCGTCTTTAAATATTCCAACAGTTCCAAACGTGCAGGGCGGCTCCATTTCGAAGTGTGGCTCTCGCCTCAGCTCCGCGCACGCTCGTCTTAAAGTCTGCAGCTGCTTCCAGGTTTCGTATGGCTGGAGTCCCAGGAACGGTGTTCAAGCACGCTTTGGGAGCATCAGGGCGCAACAATACCGACGATTCGCGGCGCTGCAGCCCCAGAAATGGCCCTATGGCGGACTCAGGACTGTCGGGGTGCAAAAATCACGTTGATTTGCGGCGTTGAACTCCCAGGAATGGTGCTTTGGTCCAAAATGAAGATTCTCAAACGGCTGTCTGCCACTGCGGCACTTCCCACAACGAACATAATCCTGTAGGGGGCCGATGACGAGGGAACACGGAGGGAGTGTTCATTGCAACATCAGTGATGCGTCGTAGGCTTTCACTGGTCCTCCTCCTCCTCCTCTTGCTCTTCCTCCTCCTCCTCCTCCTCCTCCTCCTCCGCTTTCTCATCCAACTCAATCTCCCCCTATTCCTCCCCCAACTCCGTTTCCTCCCACCATCCTCATCCTGCTCCTCATCCTTCTCCTCCTTCTCCTCCAACTCCGTTTCCTCCTCCTCTTCCTCCTCCTCCGTCTTCTATGCCTCCTCCTCATCCTCCTACTTCTCCTCCTCCCCCTCCTTTGTATGCCACATCGAGCTGCCCCTTGCCCTTCCCTTGCCTCTCCCCCTTCTCCAGCACGGACACCGACAGGCAGGCGGACTAGAGAGCAGAGAATGTGGAGGCTCCAACTTGCCCTTGAATCCGAAGTAATCAAGGCCATCACCCTGGCAGAACTTTACCACGTCCATCGTCTGCTTCCCCACCTCGGAGAGTGGCACACTCACTCTCCTCATCCTCCTGTTCCCTCCACATGATATTTGCCCTTCTCCTCCTAACCCTCCTCCTCCACCACTCCCTCCCCATTACCATGATGGACCCTACAATCCTCCTCTTCCTGAGTTTCTTCCTCCTCCTAATCAATCTCAATCGTCCACCTCACCATAAATTACCATCATCATCCGTAACGTCGTAATCGTCGTCGTCGTCATCGTCTTCATCGTAATCGTCGTCGTCAGCATCAGCCGCATCGTCGACGTCGTCGCCGTCATCATCATCGCCATCGTCGTCACCATCACCATCACGATTACCATCACCGGCATCAGCATCGCCACCATCATCATCATCATCATCATCATCATCATCATCATCAGCAGCAGCAGCAGCATCATCATCGTCGTCAGCATATCACACCAGACGCAATCAAACATACTCCACATCAGGAAATAAGCGGGCGGCCGAGAACGAGAACCTGAAACAGTAACTGGCGTATCGAAAAAAACGGCGGCGAGGCAAAGCAACGGATGCAAATCAGCTGGAACTCCTCATAAAAAGTTGGCGGTGAATCCTCTTGTAACCAGAATTAGAATGGCAGGCTGCGTTTTGGAGTCAGTTGATTATCATTACAACCAATTTTTGTTTTAAGACATTCGGAATTCAAATTATCATAATGATAAATGAACAGAATACAATAAGAGAAAAAACAAACGGGACGTCAAAACAACAAACAAGAAATTAGGATTTGTCGGCATAAAGCGAGAATGCACATCATATGACTATCTCATGCCGTGCAACGCGACTCTCCGGAGAAAGATTTGCAATTATATTCAAAGGCGTGCCGCGTGACGCGGAATGATGATACTTTTAAATTCCCAACCAAGCGACGCATTTCAACCCTCCCGCGAGCGGAACCGCAACCGCGCGATGCATTCCAAACCGCACCCAGGCGCCGGAGTTAGCAAACTCATATGAAAAAAACAAGCGGAGGGAACAGACAACAAAATGGCGGCGGGCTCGCCGGCCAAAATCAGTTCAAAATGACGGCGGCGGGGGGTGGGGGCGCCCAGTCACTACCGCAGTGAGCACCGAAGAAACCGTAGTAACACCATCAGCGCCTTCATCATCCTCATCATCATCATCATCATCAGCAGCAGCATCATCATCAGCATCATCATCATCAGCAGCATCATCGTCGTCATCATCATTATCGTAATCAGCATGACCGGCATCATCACCAACAACGTAGGCACAATCCTCGATGTCATCACAGTCGTCGTCATCATCATCAGCAGCATCATCATTATCATCATCGTCATCATCATTATCATGATCATCATCATCATCATCATCATCAGCATCATCATCATCACCATCCTCTTCCTCGTCATCGTCATCGTCATCATCGTCATACTCAGCAACAGTTGCAATATCAGCAGCATCATCAGTATCACCACTATCATCATCAACATCATCATCATCATCATCATCATCATCATGTTCATCAGCATCATCGTCACCGTCATCATAATCACCATCATCATCATAATCGTCATCATCAGCATCTTTATCACAATCATTTCAATCATCATCATCATCAGCATCATCATCAGCATCTTTGTCATCAACATCATCGTCACCATCGTCATCATAATCATCGTCAAGTTCCTCATCATCGTCCTCCATCTCTGTGTCCTCTGCCTCCTCATTATCTTCCTCCTCCTCCTAACCATCATCAGCAACAGCATCAACATCATTATCTAGCCATCATCATCATCATCATCATCATCATCATCATCATCATCCTCACTATCGTAATGATCATCATCATCAGCATCATCGTCATAATCATCAACACTATCATCATCATCGTCATCGCCCTCGTCCTCATCATCATCGTCCCATCATCATCATCATCAACATCATGATCATCAGCATCATCACCATCATCATCAGTATCATTGTCATCATCATCAGCATCATCATCATGATCACCATCAGCATCAGCAGCATGATCATCATCGTCATCATCAGCAACAGCATCACCATCACCATCACCATCCGCATAATCATCATCATCAGCAGCATCATCATCAGCATCAGCATCAGCATCATCATCAGCATCATCATCATCACATTCATCGTCATCATCGCCATAAGCCCCACCACCACCACCATCATCACACCCGTCCTCACCATGCTTGTCATCCTGGTCATCGTCCTCGTCAACTCCACAGTTGTCGGTTCTTCGCCATCGTTATCATCTTCCACGTCCTCGTCCACCTCTTCTTCCTCACCCTGTTCCTGCTCCTCTCGATTCCTCCTCTTCCACCTCATCATCATCATCATCATCATCATCATCATCATCATCACCACCACCATCAGCAGCAGCAGCTGCATCATCATCATGATCATCATCATCAGCATCATCATCAGCGTCATCGTCGTCATCATCATCATCCTGCTCGTCCTCCTCCTCATCCTCCACCTCCTCCTCCCCCTCATCATCATCATCATCATCATCATCATCATCATCATCACTACGACCATCATCATCATCATCATCATCATCATCATCATCAGCAGCTGCAGCAGCAGCAGCAGCAACATCACCATCATCAACGTCTTTTGCCAGGCTTGGCTGAACAGGAAGGAGCCCGTTGGTTGGCCTCTACAAATGCCTGGCTCCCGAACGCACAGGTGGTGGGATTCGGTGGACTTCTGCTCAAAGCGGCATCTCGCGGGGATGTCGGGCAAAGGGCCAGGACAATGAGGCGAAACAGCTCGAGCACCGAGACGCCGGGGCAATGCGGCGACGCAGCTCGAGCTGTCTCCAGCCCAGGGGCGCCTAGACAATGCGGCGAAGCAGCTCGAGCAAACACCTCGAGTCATGGTCCTGGGGCCGTCTCATGACCTGCTCGGCCAAGACAGCGCGCGCCTCGTTGAGCTCATTCAGCCGCAGGTGGAGCCTCGCGATGGTGGGCCGCGCGTAGAACAGATTCGGGTTGATCGCCAGCGCGCGCTTGAGGAGCGTCAGGCAGATATCGTCCTTGTCCTTCTCGTCGAGCAGGATCATCGCCAGGTTCGTGAGCGCGTAGGGATTCCCGCGGTCCAGCGCCACCGCGCGCAGCAGGTAGTGCCTCTTTGCGTCGGTCCCCTCCTGGAACAGGGAGAGCCCGTTCAGCCCAAGCGACGAAGCTGGGTTGACGCTGACGGCCCTGCGGTACAGCTCCAGGGTGCGCGCCTCGAGGGCCTCCCGGAGCTCGCCCACCTCCGCCCTGCACCTGGCGTAGCACGTGTCCGCCAGCCGGCACAGCACGACGTCGTCCTCCGGGGCCAGCTCCAGCGCGGCGCCCAGCAGCCGCTCGGACCTCTCCAGGTCCCTCGCCTCGTAGGCGGCCAGGCCCTGCGAGAAGCACCACGTCAGCTTCGCCCGCCCACCCGCGGCCAGCGGCAGCCGCGGCGCGGCCCGCGGGCCCGCGGGCTGCTGGCCGGCGTGGCGCTCCTCCGCGAGCGGCGGCGCCCGCGCGGCCAGCTCCAGCACCTCGGCGGGCACCGCGGGCGCGCCCACCGCGTCGGGGCGGCGCTCCACGGCCCGCGCCTCGGCCTCGGTGCGCAGCGCGAAAGCCACGTAGGGCGGGATGCTGCCGAGGAGCGCCCGCCGGCGGGCGCTGGCCTCGTAGAGGCCCTGGTCCTCCAGGAGCTCCGCGGAGAGGCGGGAGCAGCACAGCAGCGCGGAGGCCGCGGCGAAGTCGAGGCAGTCCTGCACGGTGACGAAGGCCGCCTGGTTCCTCAGCAGGGGGCTCTCCGCGGCCGCGCCGCCGTCGGGCTCCGGGGGGGCCGCCATCTCGCGCGCGCGCGAGGGCGCTCCGCACGCGCCGGGGGGCCCGAGCCCAAATGGCTGCGGACGTGCTGAGAAGCTGCGTTTCGCTGACCTCTGCCTTCTCCGCCGCGTCAGACGAGCCCCATGAAGCCATCAGATGGCCCCAAGATGGTCCAAGAGGGCACCAACGAAGCCCAACGGGGCCTCAAGTGGCCTGAAGAGAGACCCATGGAGGCGCCGACAAGCCTCCAATCGACCCATGGGGGCCCCAGAGGGCACCCGAAGTGTTGGGACATGTTTTTGCGAGCAAAGCTTCCAAGTCGAGCCGCTGGTATTCTCTTGAAAGCGCGACACCATAACACCACCCCAAACAACACTGCGCTCCAGAGGCTGAAGACACATCCAGCACCATGGGAAGGCCAACCTGCGACGGGCGAGCCTCCAAGTACCTGCCGGACACGACGACGAGATGCTGCCAGGCCGAGGCGCTGGACCGAGCGTGCTGCCGGGCCGCGGCCGCCGCAAAGCTGACCTGGGAGTGCAAGGCGAGGGGTGGATGGCGAAGAGAGACGCCGGCATCGGACGCGCGGGTCTGGCCGACGCGCCGGCGAGCGCCGCGCACAGCTCCGCCTCCTTCTTTTGGGTCAGGAGCAAAGCTCACCGAGGACAAGAGCCCGAACGGGAGGGGCGCGCGACTGAAGGCAACACGCGGCCGGCGGCCACGGCGCAGCAGCGCTGCTGCGCGGCGAGCGCTCGCGGTGCAAGTAATGAAGCCGAGCCCTCTGGAAGTGCGCCGGGCGGACGCAGGAGGCAGCGGCAAGGGGCCTCTCCCCCGGAGTGAGCAGCCCCGCCGAGTGCGTGCAGCGGCCTCCCCGACACGAGCATGCCATGCAGGAAGCAGGGCCGCAGTGCAGTTTTGGGGTGAAGCGGGCGGCCTTGCGGCCGCGCCCAGTTGGCGGTGCCGGCGTCGGCCGAGACGAACGCCGTCAGCGCGGAGGAGGGGGCGGCGGCGGCGGTACGCTGGCCCTGGCGGACGGGGCCCCCAGGTGCCTGGGGCGAAGCGAAGCGGCGTTGGGCGAGGCCGAGGCAGTCGAGCCCCGCTTAGAATTGTTGCTCGACGGCCGCCAGCCTCGCTGCCGGCGGAACACGGCTCGGGGCCGTCGTGGTCACAGAAGCGAGATGGGTATTCAAGGCGCTCCGCTGGTCTCGAAAAACCGCGTGGGTCTGGGGAACGGCGAGAAAAGGAAACTGACTGGTCGCCAGTGCGGGGAGGCTGTGGCGTGCACGCAGCGGTCGGGCGGCCTGACCGCCACGGTAAGCTGACCAATCACGGCAGCGGAAAGGCGTTCGCGCATGCGCGCGACGTTTGAGGTCGCCGGGAGGTGCGTAGCAGTTGCAGGGGCGGGGCGCTGGGGCTGCGAGATAGGCCTGGGGGCTTGGGCCAGCGCCAGAACGGGTTCCCACGCGGCCACCCTGTGCGCAGGGAGCCGCAGCGCCTGTGTTGTCATCGTCGTCGTCGTCGTCCGCGTCGTCGTCGTCGTTATCGTCGTCGTCGTCGTCGTCCAAGGCTGAACGGGTCCTCGTCGTCCAGGTCGGGCCATTAGTCGGCCCAATGGTCGTCGGGATGTCGGGCGGCTGCGGAGCCGTCTTGGAGAGGCCGCGCACGCGGGCCGAGTAGTTTCAGCCTGTGCAGAGGACCGTGGGATCACATAGGCCACGCGGGCGAGGAGGTGGTGGGCCTGGTGGGAGCAGGCCACGTCAGTAGCCGCATAGACCCATCTCGTCCCTGTGACCGAATCGCTTTGCTCTTGGCACACGTCTGGGTCGTTTCCCTTCTAGCCAGCCTGGGGGCGGGCTGCGGGCGGGAAGCCATGAACGGTTCGTCCTGAAGTCGGGAAGCCGCGGTTCAGTTTCGAAGATACCGCGGTGGCGTGCGTGCGGGGGGCAGCAGGCCCAACTGGTCATCGGTGAGCACTGATGAACGCGAGGGGGCTCTTTTGGTGGGCCCAACAGCGGCAGCGCCAAATATGCAAGATAGATTGCACCAAACACGGCAAATGGACAAAATAGTGCACCACCAGGCGCCCACGACTACGGAACTCCTTGTGTGATCAATGTTTCGTGTCCCCCCTCCTCCCCCCAACTTTGATACTGGCCACGGTCCGGGATCGCTGAAACCGCTCAGTTGTGCAACATTATGTCGATCGCCTGGGGATTTTGGCAGTTCCTCCTCGCATCCCCCCAATGCTACAATGGGACGAGGGGGGGATGAGCGTTCACAAGCACATGATTGAGGGCCCTCCTAAAGTATTGCGAAATTGCGTTAATGCACGGTAGCTTTATCCGGATATATTATTCCATACAGCTTGCACAACATAGCTTGCACCACATAGCTTGCACCACATAGCTGACCAAGTTTGCACCACGTATATGGCACCAACTAGATCCACACACACACACATACCTATACATACACACATGTGTGTATATGTATTACACCACATAGCTTGCTCCATACACCTTGCACCACATTGATTGCACCAAATCATTTGCTCCATGCAAATTCTCCATTCGAAAGAATACTAGGGCCATGAGTCCTGGACTTAGCGACCCGTTGGGGGCATACGATTCTGCCTTACAGTTCACTTTTCGTGCGAAATCACACCGTCCACGGCAGGCCAGGTATCGGTACCCCCTCTTTCTTGCCGAAGAATACCATGCGCGCCCACCCCAACAACAACAACAATCATGTTAAGACTGTTCGCCCTTATCTGCTCGAGTGTCTAATACCCTCTTCGATACCCGCCCTCTTCGTCTTCGATCGAACCCCTTTTGGGGTGTATACCTTTCTTCCCTGCAGGCCAGGCCACGGCAAGCGGCGGCGCGGCCGCGGACCGTCGTCCTGGCCAGCGGCAACGCTGATCGGCGGGGCGGCCGCGGACCGTCGACCCGACCTCGAGAGGGACGGGCAGGGGACCGCACACGACGACGACGACGACGACGTCGACGACGACGGCGACGACGACGACGACGGCGACGACGACGACGAGCGAAAGCGAGAGCGAGAAAGAACGACAGCAGGGCCACAAGGACACGAAGTAGGCCACGAAGGGCGACAGCGGGGACACGAATGGGATGCGTATGGGGCCACGAAGAGCGCGAACGAGCGGGGGCCACGAAGGGCATACGTATACTGGGCCGCGGAGGGCAAGGACGGGGCCACTGAGGGCAGCAACGGGGCCACGAAGGGCAGCGAGGGGGCCACGAAGGGCGACACGACGACAACGGGGCCACGAAGGGCATGCGCATGGGGCCACGACGGGCGCGAACGATCGGGGCCACGAAGGGCAGATCATGCGGGGCCACAGAAGGCAACGACGGGGCCACTGAAGGTAGCAACTGGACCACGTAGGACAGTGAGGGGGCTACAAACGGCGACAGCGGGGCCACCAAGGGCATGCACATGGGACCAAAACGGGCGCGAACGAACGGGGGCCACGAAGGGCATACGTATACTGGGCCGCGGAGGGCAAGGACGGGGCCACTGAGGGCAGCAACGAAGCCACGAAGGGCAGCGAAGGGGCCACGAAGGGCGACAGCGGGGCCACGAAGGGCATGCATATGGGGCCACCACGGGCGCGAACGATCGGGGGCCACGAAGGGCATACACATATGGGGGAAAAGCAGCGAAGGGGCCACGAAGGGCAGCGAGGGGGCCGCGAAGGGCTGCAACGGGGCCACGAAGGGCTGCGAGGAGGCCACGAGGGGCTGCAACGGGGCCGCGAAGGGCAGCGAGGGGGCCACGAAGGGCTGCAACGGAGCCACGAAACAAAGGGAGGGGGCCACGACGGCTGCAACGGGGCCACGAAGGGCAGCGAGATCCCGATTCTTAGGTAACCTGTGAGGGGGTCCTAAACGTGAGCGCGACTCCTGGGTGCCTGGGTGTCGGGAGCGCGGCGCTTGAGTAAATTGCAAGAACTTCCAACGCAAGGACGCTATTCTTCAGTAAATTGCTAGCAAGTCTCCAGCGAGAGCGCGACTCTAGAGCGCCGGGAGAGCGATCCCTGAATAAATTCTAAGGAAGTCCCAAGCGAGAGCGCATGGTGTCGACCCCGCCCATTTCGGTACACCCCTCACAGGTTTCGTAGCCCGACAGGGAGCCCCGCCGAAGGGCCCAGTGGCAGCACCCGCATGGCGTCACCCCGCACATTTCGACACACCCCTCACGCGTTTCGTGACCCACAGGGGGTTACACCCAAGGCCCCAGTGGCAGCGCCCGCATGGCGACACCCCGTCCATTCCTGCGCACGCCTCATACTTTTCGCACTTCACAGGGAGCCCGACCGAAGGGCCCAGTGGCAGCGCCCCCATGGCATCGCCCCACATATTTCGGCACACCCCTCACACGTTTCGTGTTCCCATAGGAAGACCCACCAAAGGCCCTAGCGGCACCGCCGGCATGGTGTCGACCCCGCCCATTTTCGCACCAGGGGGGCCCCACCGAAAACTCCAGTAGCAGCGCCCGCATGGCGTCGACCCCGCCCATTTCGGTACACCCCTCACAGGTTTCGCAGCCCGACAGAGAGCCCCACCGAAGGGCCCAGTGGCAGCACCCGCATGGCGTCACCCCGCACATTTCGACACACCCCTCACGCGTCTCGTGACCCACAGGGAGTTACACCCAAGGCCCCAGTGGCAGCGCCCGCATGGCGTCACCCCGTCCATTTCGGTACACCCCTCACACGTTTCGTGGCCCCACAGGGAGCGCCACCGAAGGCCCCAGTGGCAGAGCCCGCATTCCGTTTTTTTCGTGACCCACAGGGAGGCCCCAGTGGCAGCGCCCGCATGGCGCGTCACCCCGCCCATTTTTCGGCACACTCCTCACAACGTTCGTGGCCCCGCAGGGAGCCCCACCGAAGGCCCCAGTGGCAGCGCCCGCACGGCGTCACCCCGTCCATTTCGGCACACTCCTCACACGTTTCGTGACCCCACAGGTGGCCCCACCGAAGGCCCCAGTGGCAGCG